TACTGCTAGGTAACAGGGGCATAGGGTGAAAAACTTTGCCCATTGTTTCTCGCCGGCGCCTGGGATCGAACCCAGGACCACAGGATCACAAGTCCAGCGTGCTGTCCGTTCGGCCGACCGGCTCCCTAAACGGACAGCAGCAAGATCTCTAGTGATCCTGTTGTTGAAGCACCAGGCAGCCAGCTGCTAGAAAGGAAAACCGCCGTAACTTTGATACAAGTGAAGAGACAGGAAGGCACCACAGAAGAGCCAAGAGAGTAACACGAGCTGGCCCGACAGGGTTTCTGACAAAGATGTAAATAGATGGAGAGAGACAATATAGAGTATTTAAGGAAGAAGAGAAACTAGTTGATAAGGATACAGTGTTTGCAAACGGGAGCAGAGGTCAAGAGAGAATAAGTTTCTAGTTTCCTTTAAGAGGACAAACTTTGGTATCTACCACGTTACAGAGACGTTTAGACGTACCAAGTTCCTTCCCAAGCTGAGAAGCAGCTGCGTCAAGATTGGTTGGTTTGTTACCTCATTTGTGACGGAAGAGACGGGAAACTGACAGTAGAGACAGAGCAGCGGGGAGCAGCAAGTGCAGACAGCTGTAGGGTCCTTCCCAGAGCTGACCTATCGACCTCACAGCAGGGTCAAACTAAACCGCCATCATCAACGAAAGATGTAAAAAGGTTTCGTAAGTTGAATTCTGGCCCAGAGCCGTCTCTTATCTTGTCTCTTCCTGTGTCTCGTGATTTTTCTATCATTCTCCACACCTGGTACTTCAGGTCTGGCCCACCTGCTCGTCCTCCACACCTGGGGGCCGGATTCATCAAGCGTTTACGCATCCACATACAAAAACCTGTACATCTTTCCTCAACCTATGGCGACTTTGTTTACATTTATTAAACAGCTCATGAGTTCCGGAGCACCAGGAGGCTGTTTATAACAATAACAGTGAATTGGGAAGTTTCGGAAGGCGAGTATGGAGGTCAATAGTCCATGAATCGACATGGGGTTAATGCAGTGGTGGTGGTGGTGGTAGTAGTGGTGGTGGTAGTGGTGGTGGTAGTGGTGGTGGTAGTGGTGGTGGTAGTGGTGGTGGTGGTGGAAGTGGTAGTGGGCGGGGGCCGTGGGCGGGGGCGGTGGTAGTGGGCGGGGGCGGTGGGCGGGGGCGGTGGTAGTGGGCGGTGGTAGTGGGCGGTGGGCGGGGGTAGTGGGCGGTGGTAGTGGGCGGGGGCGGTGGGCGGGGGTAGTGGGTGGTGGTGGCCATCAAGTGAAGGCTGAGCCCGCCGGGAGGACAGCAGCGGTGGCCACCAGGGAGAACAGCCTCGCCCACCGCACAGATAATCTCCACCTTCGGCTCGGGATTACCGCACGGGGCCGAGTGCAAGGCAGGGCTAGGCAGGGACAGGTAAGGATGAGAGGATAGGAAGGCCGCGATATGAAGAGGAAAGGGTTAGAACGAAATATATTTTGTGGCAGTTTTCTAATAAACTAAAAAAAAAATCCACACTAGGCGACCTCTCACGGTGTTCAAAAGTGAAGATGATGAACACCAAATGATGTCTTACCAACCGGGCTGTGATTCACACGTCAGACTGCGAGCAGCGGCGTCTAACAGCCTGGTTGATCAGACCCCCACCAACCAGAGGCCTGGTCAGAAACCGGGCCGCGAAGATAACCGATTTCCGGAAGCAAGAGGTAGGCAGCATGTAGGGGTCATCGTCCCCCCCCCTCTTACCCCAAGATGGTGATGATCAGTGCCAGTCTCTCCAGTGTACCACACTCATCACTACTGATGATGATGGTGATCTTGTACTGAAGCAGCATCAGTTACACCCCCCCCCCCCAGCCACACACCTGCAGTGGGTTCTCTTAGTCCCTCTACCCCCCCCCATCCTTTCTCCAAGTCATATCTGGGGTCAGGCTTGTCTTATCATTACTTGACCTAGAAGGCTGTTGTCTGGAGCGGCCCACAGGCACACACACATCCATTCCACCATCTTGAGGTTATCTCGAGATGATTTCGGGGCTTAGCGTCCCCGCGGCCCGGTCCTCAACCAGGCCTCTTTCTTTATTACACACCCCCAGGAAGCAGCCCGTAGCAGCTGTCTAATTCCCAGGTACCTATTTACTGCTTGGTCAACAGGGGGCATCAGGATGAAAAGAAACTCTGCCCATTTGTTTCCGCCTCCACCGGGGATCGAACCCGGAACCTTAGCACTATGAATCCTGAGCTCTGTCCACTCAGCCGTCAGGCCCCATGCCAACAATAAAGCTATTGAACCTTACAAAAATATGGACACCTTTCAAAATTAATTTGCAAGTTTGCATATTGTGCACCACATATAAAAATAACATTAAAAAAGATCCACACACATTTTTAACAATATGTCGAAAGGGGCACCATTTCCCAAACGTGTGTGTGAGGCCGTCGGGGTGTAAACAGTATACCTGGCTGTACACTGTACACTGACACGCACACCTGGCTCAGGTGATGGAGCCTCCAGGGACGGCAGAGCACCCCAGGAAGAGCCAGTAGAAGAGTGGGTTGTGGAGAGAGAGAGAGAAAGAGAGAGGACAGAGACCGACTCCTTCCACCTCCCCCTACAAACTGAAAGCTGACGTTCATTAGAAACTCGCCATACACCTCCAGCCAGAGAGAGAGAGAGAACAAACATATCACCCCACATACCCAAGACTCGCCCCACTACACCTACAACAATCTTAAGAACGACCCGCCCCCTCCTCCCAGCGCCGTCTTAAGTACGACACCTGGAGCAGTAGCAAGTCCTTCCCACTCACAGGGAGCAAGACAAGCATCAACAGTGGGGGTGGAGGAGGGCTGCACCTCCGAGTCATAGCTACCTACCACAGCCAGTCTCGTGTGACCAAAAAACGAAGCTTTCTCAAGGACCGACGCCACAGCTTTTGAGGACACGTAAGGCAACCAACAACACCTATTAGCAACCTCAGGGGGTCATAGAAGGCTTGGGCAGGCAACTACAGTGCTTGCAATCACATACCACATGCCAATCTCAACGCTCGCTGCTTCTTCCCCCCCCCCCCCATCCCCAGAGCTTCGTGAGAGGAAGCCAAAGATACATACTACTTGTTGCTGGTCTTATTTGGACGGCCACGTTGTTGTTGTTTATGAGTAAAACGTTTATTGTATGGACGTTTATGGTTCACATTTTGCCTGGGGATTTTGTATAGAGGACCCCAGGGGGGGGGGGGGGGTGAAGGTTCCAGGCGGGGATTGGATGGTGAAATTAGAAGAGGGGGTCGGTTTGAAAGAGGGTGGGTTAGGTTGAGGGTGTGTTGCTAAAGGGAGTTTTATACAGATGGTGGGGATTGAGAGGATGTGGGGGAGGCTTTACCTGAAGGAAAGGGGATGTGAGATTAAAAGATGTGGGGAGAGAGAGAGAGAGAGGGGGGGGGGAGAGGAGGAGACAGACACAGACAGATACGGGAGAGTAAGGGTGATGTTCATGATAACCACCTACAAAATTCTCATGAGAATTGACAGGGTGGACAAAGACAAACTCTTTAGCACGAGCGGAACACGAACAAGGGGACACAGGTGGAAACTTAGTACCCAAATGAGCCCCAGATACATTAGAAAAAACTTTTTTAGTGTCAGAGTGGTTGACAAATGGAATGCATTAGGAAGTGATGTGATGGAGACTGACTCCATACACAGTTTCAAATGTAGATATGATAGAGCCCAATAGGCTCAGGAACCTGTACACCAGTTGATTGACAGTTGAGAGGCATAACCAAAGAGCCAAAGCTCAACCCCTTCAAGCACAACTAGGCGAGTACAATTAAAAAGTACAACAGACAGAGACAGACAGACAGAGGGACAGGCTGACTCAAGGCTGCCCAGAGACCAACGAGGGTGACCTAGTCTGACAGTTAAAAATAAAATAAGACTCATACCGTTATCAGTAAACTTCCCCCCACACACACACACACCGAGCTTTAGGAGCTGCGCTCTCAATATTTTGTCGAAATTGTTCGAGAAGTTGGAAATACTATCAGAGATAATTGAAGCGATTCTCCCTGTGAGCGGAGGGAAGAGCCCGTCCTGCCTCACCTTCGTTGCCCCCCGAGGCCCCAGGCGGAGATAGTATGGGGGGACCTTCTTGTTTCCCCTCACACTCACTACGGCCCTTATAGGTTGTGGCTCCCTTGTGTGTGTGTTCTCACGTCCCTGTGGCTTCCCTGTGTGCGTGTGTTCTCACGTCCCTGTGGCTCCCCTGTGTGCGTGTGTTCTCACGTCCCTGTGGCTCCCCTGTGTGCGTGTGTTCTCACGTCCCTGTGGCTCCCCTGTGTGCGTGTGTTCTCACGTCCCTGTGGCTCCCCTGTGTGCGTGTGTGCTCACGTCCCTGTGGCTCCCCTGTGTGCGCGCGCTCGCCCATATGAGGCTCAGGTGGAAACCACCAGCTATGTTCACATAGTTCCAGCTATGTGAGCCACATAGCTGAAACAATTGTAGGGCAATAAGAGGCGCCCCTGCAAGGTAAACACAGCCACGTGAGCCAACAGTCGGTGCTTCGAGGCCATATGGTAGTCTCCGCTCGACCGGCACCAACACCTGAACTCTGAAGCAATATAGAGACGCACTTGACTTATCTCACAAGTCAAGCCTGGCCTCGGGGCGGGCTTGGGGAGATGGAGAACTCCCAGAACCCCATCATGCAGGTATCAAGCAGAGACCATAGGATTTGATGTTCCACATTTCAATCGTTACCGAGGACGGAGATATCGCTATGGTACCCAGAGCGAGCAGGCAGGCAGGCAGGCAGGCAGACCCGCCCTGAGCGCACAAGGGAACACTGTAACAGACATAATAATATTGATCCCATGACCATCACTGAAAGAGTAACCGGTGAGCTGGTGAACAAATCTAGGCGCCAAAATAAGACGGAACAAGGAGTAGGCCGGATTTACAATCTATTTACAGTATATATTTTATGGGAATTAATGACGCTCGAGTTTACCTAAGCTCTATGAGGTACAGTGTGCCTCTGAAGCACAGTGTGCCTCTGAAGCACAGTGTGCCTCTGAAGCACAGTGTGCCTCTGAAGCACAGTGTGCCTCTGAAGCACAGTGTGCCTCTGAAGCACAGTGTGCCTCTGAAGCACAGTGTGCCTCTGAAGCACAGTGTGCCTCTGAAGCACAGTGTGCCTCTGAAGCACAGTGTGCCTCTGAAGCACAGTGTGCCTCTGAAGCACAGTGTGCCTCTGAAGCACAGTGTGCCTCTGAAGCACAGTGTGCCTCTGAAGCACAGTGTGCCTCTGAAGCACAGTGTGCCTCTGAAGCACAGTGTGCCTCTGAAGCACAGTGTGCCTCTGAAGCACAGTGTGCCTCTGAAGCACAGTGTGCCTCTGAAGCACAGTGTGCCTCTGAAGCACAGTGTGCCTCTGAAGCACAGTGTGCCTCTGAAGCACAGTGTGCCTCTGAAGCACAGTGTGCCTCTGAAGCACAGTGTGCCTCTGAAGCACAGTGTGCCTCTGAAGCACAGTGTGCCTCTGAAGCACAGTGTGCCTCTGAAGCACAGTGTGCCTCTGAAGCACAGTGTGCCTCTGAAGCACAGTGTGCCTCTGAAGCACAGTGTGCCTCTGAAGCACAGTGTGCCTCTGAAGCACAGTGTGCCTCTGAAGCACAGTGTGCCTCTGAAGCACAGTGTGCCTCTGAAGCACAGTGTGCCTCTGAAGCACAGTGTGCCTCTGAAGCACAGTGTGCCTCTGAAGCACAGTGTGCCTCTGAAGCACAGTGTGCCTCTGAAGCACAGTGTGCCTCTGAAGCACAGTGTGCCTCTGAAGCACAGTGTGCCTCTGAAGCACAGTGTGCCTCTGAAGCACAGTGTCGTGTAGCTGCCGAAGCTTACCATGATGTAGGAGCGATCATTTGCTCCTCCACAATATTTACTCCCCTCCTCCTCCTCCTCCTCCTCCTCCTGTAGTGTTCATCTGAATCCCCTCCCTCGCATGTGGGAAGGCCAGTCGCAGGCTGTATCAATCTTCCTCCTCCTGTCTGTGCCGGTGGTTGGTGTCCTGTACCCGATAACATTACAGCACCTGGAGGCTTATGACTGTCTTACAGAAGCCCGATTGTCCACGCAGGAATTGTTCTTTACGAATTTGTTTCATAGTTCTTTTGGAGTTAGTGCTGGTGTGAAATGTGCATACGAGGGGGGAGGGAGAAGCAAGACTGGAAGAGAGTTAGCGAGGATTGGAAGAAAGATTAGGAGGAGGAGGAGGAAGAGGAGGAGGATTGAAAGGAAGACGGCCTACGGGACGGTTGTCATGGAAACATCTGCACGCCTACAGCTTGGCGTTGATCACGCCTACACCCTGCGTTAGATCAGTAATGTGGCGCTACAGATTACGTAACGGTGCCACCACACGCCCCCCTTAGTGCCACCACAGTGACATCACCTCAGTAATTGATAATTGTCAATCCCATAAACTGACTTCCCCCCCCCCGTCAATTGACAACACCCCCCACCGGTCGACACCCCCTCCTGCGCCTCCCCTCCACTGGTCGACAACCCCCCCTCTTGCCCCCCCCCACTGGTCGACAACCCCCCCCCACTGGTCGACACCCCCTCCTGCGCCTCCCCCCCCCCACTGGTCGACAACCCCCTTCCCCTCCCCTACTAATCAAACCTCCTCCCCCTTATTGACAAGATCCCTCACTTATCAAGAACACCCACCCCAACTAATCATCAACCACCATCCCCACCTTATTGACCCCACACTAACCCCCTACCCCCCCCACCACAACACCACATTCACCCACAGTAACCCCCCCCCCCCCCACTAGCAGCAGCAAAACACGGCACTAAAACAAGGTGGGGTAAAAAAAAATAAAAAAAGTCCAGAAAAGTGACAGGAGAGGCCTAAACAAATGTTCAACAGGTGTGCCAACTGGCCGATGATGGTGAGATACCTGATACCTTGTGATACCTGATACCTCGTAGTACCTGATATCTTGTGATACCTGATACCTTGTGATACCTGATACCTTGTGATACCTGATACCTTGTGATACCTGATACCTCGTAGTACCTGATATCTTGTGATACCTGATATCTTGTGATACCTGATACCTTGTGATACCTGATACCTCGTAGTACCTGATATCTTGTGATACCTGATACCTTGTGATACCTGATACCTTGTGATACCCGATACCTCGTAGTACCTGATATCTTGTGATACCTGATACCTCGTGATACCTGATACCTTGTGATACCTGATACCTCGTGATACCTGTTCTATGGTCACTCTTGTGAGCCTGGGATGAAACATCAGGTTCACCAGATATCAGCTCAACAATCGTGTATTTTCTTCTACAAAAAGTTGTAAAAAAAAGCTTCCCTAAATTATGGCAATAAAAAACAGAAAAAAATGAAACCTGCATTGGTAGTGACCTAAAAAAAAAATTCCCTCTGATGCTACAGATTCTGAGAGAATATTTGTAGCCTTGCTCTGAGGCTACCTAGATCCCCCCCCCCCCCCTCCCTCCCCCTCACAAACCACGAATACAATACTTAAAAGTTCAAAATAAATCCCCTATACGAGGAGTCGTATCTAGAAACGTTAGGAATAAAATTTCTAATATCCTTCAGCCCATTCGAGACATCACTTGGAGAATACAATATACAAAAGAAACGGCAACATGTGAACAAAAGTATAAAAGCCTAACAAAGAGGGTAACTAATACAGGAAAAGCAACATTAGCTACAACACCACACAATAGATCCATTTTGTGGGAAAATAAGATTTAGAAAATAGATTTAGAAAATCAATAGGTGCGCCCTAACAAGTGAACACCGTTGCTGTGCTCTGTCACAATGTTGTTGATTTAGATTTAGCTACTCAGAACGAAATGTCCATGTAGCACGGGCTATGGTGAGCCCGTAAAAAGGCTGTCACAAGCCACCTCGGAACTGTAGTGCAGTCAAATATTACAGGAATAACCGTGGACATCTTCAAGAGAAAACTAGATTGTTTCCTTCAAGGAGTGCCGGACCAACCGGGCTGTGGTGGGTATGTGGACCTGCGGGCCGCTCCAAGCAACAGCCTGGTGGACCAAACTCTCACAAGTCAAGTCTGGGGAAGTAGAATAACTCCCAGAACCCCATCAACCAGGTATCAACCAGGAACATTGACAAGTACAAGCTGGATAAGTTCTTGAGTCCAATTACAATTAAAAAACTAAACTTTAATCATAAATGTTTATACATTTATTACTGACCGAGTTTATGCAAAACTACAATGCATACAACACGGGGTCCAAGAGTTGGAGCTCGATCCTCCAAACACAAACAGACGAGTACAAATAAGTGAGTGAGCGCGCGCACTCGCATGATGGAGACCTGATCACCACTTACAAAATTTTCAGAGGAATTGACAAAGAGGACAAAGACAAACTATTTAACACGGGTGAAACACGAACAAGAAGACACAGGTGGAAACCGAGTACCCAAACGAGCCACAGACGTTAGAAAGAATGTTTTCAATGTCAGAGTAGTTAACAAATGGAATGCATTAGGCAGTGATGTGGCCGACTCCATACACAATTTCAAATATAGATATGATAGAGCCCAGTAGGCTCAGGAACCTGTACACCAGTTGATTGACGGCTGAGAGGCGGGACCAAAGAGCCAAAGCTCAACCCAGAACACAGAGACACAGCAACAATATGAAACTACCAAAACAAAAAAGGATTCTACAAATGTACAAGCCTTCGCCAACACAAGGGGGTTCAACTCTGTGAAAGGTGTCGAGCAGGCCAGTAGCGGTGCTGGGGTGGCAGATAGTGCCCTCGGGTGGTTCACGTCGCCATGGCAACCTCTCCAGTTGTTACACACACTCGTAATCTGAGAACCACCCACGTCAACCCCACCTCACACTCGTGACCTGAGAACCACCCACGTCAACCCCATCTCACACTCGTGACCTGAGAACCACCCACGTCAACCCCACCTCACACTCGTGACCTGAGAACCACCCACGTCAACCCCACCTCACACTCGTGACCTGAGAACCACCCACGTCAACCCCACCTCACACTCGTGACCTGAGAACCACCCACGTCAACCCCACCTCACACTCGTGACCTGAGAACCACCCACGTCAACCCCACTTCACACTCGTGATCCTGCAGTCAGATCAGAAACTGAAAGAGAAGTTGGAGACTAACTTTAATAATAATACCAACTAACCACCAGTCTTATCCGACACTGTGGTAACTTTCGTCCGGAGGATGTATTCTACAGCAGTCATCCCTCCTTTCTCTCCAGTGGTTCAAGTCGCGTTTTCTATTTTATTTGTTTCGTTGTCATTCTCACATCTTACGGTAGAAAATGATCTTGCTCGCGGAGGAAGCCGAGAATTGTCAGTCAAGAATGTTTTGGGTGTCAATGACTTTTGTCCGCGTGTCAATGACATGAAAAGTCGAGCACATATTGGCACAGACAATGCCAGAATTTAGACGCCCTATTAGATAGCGACATGACAATAATCCTCAATGTTCAAGATATAAACACGATATATCTTATCATGTTTTATCATGTTGGAACAGTACCCTTATCTAACTGCGAACAAAAATAAAAAAAAGGGGGGGAAAAGTATAGGCTGAAATTTAGCCATAATGCAGAAATAGGGCGATAGCCCAAGGCCGATAAAAATAGGCAAGGTAACGAAGATAACCTTCCCGCCCCCCCTCGATACCCGTCTATCGAAAATATAGAAGTTTTGCCCCCCGCCCGCCCCCCGTGGGAGGCAACATAGGGCAGCGATGGATGGATTGACCGGTCGGCTTTAATGACTGGCGGGGTAGCCGTTTTTATTTTCCAAGTGTCACGGACGGACTGTCACCACGTCCAGGACGTCATCACCCCATGTCCTACGTCCAGGATGTCACCCCATGCCCCCCCCTTCCCCCCGACGTCCCGGAAAATGGCTAGGGAGAGAAGCTAGGATATTGGCGCCAGAACACCCAACCCATATCCCACACGCTAGGCTTCAGCCGCGCCAACAGGGGGAAGTCTTGTAAAATGACAATCCCGCGGTCCACAGGTAAGTTACCTAGCACTAAGTACCTGACCTCAAGTTCTCCTTCTGAACTCCAGTCAGAGGTCAGTGTATTCTCCTCTACAATGCCGATATATGGCATTTTTACCCACCACCACCACCACCTCTCAATTTGCCACTCCGTTAAAAATGCAACTGTACTGCCTCAGCAGAAACCCAAGCAACCCGCCTAACCTATCTGCGCAAATGCATAGAAAATGTCAATATTGCATTAATTCTTAATGCGTCGCATATTTAACGGAGTGGTCGACTTTTTAACACTTGAGAGGTGTTAGGAGGAAATAGAGAAGGGGGTGTGGGGTGGGTGGGGGTGGGGTGGGGGGATGCATACCAATAATATGCCGATCACACCGAGGGGAGGGGGGGGGAGGGAATGGAAGGGGACTATTAGCAGAAAGCGCCAAGCTATTACGACTATATAGCACTTGGAAGGGGTCAGGATAAGGATTTGGGATGGGACGGGGGGGAAGGAATGGTGCCCAACCACTTGGTCGGGGATTGAACACCGACCTGCATGAAGTGAGACCGTCGCTCTACCGTCCAGCCCAGTGTGTTCCAAGGGGGGAGGGGGGAGTTACACCCTAAAAGTGTGTGCCAAATGACCATGATTCACCACCACGTTATATCATACTCAAGTGCACTTATGGGGAAAAGTGGTGGTGGCAGCGGGTTTATTCTGCAGGATGATAAAGACAGGATGGGGGGTATGGGGTCGCCATGGGCTCTCCAACCCCCCACCAACCCCCACCACCACATTAACCCATAATGCCTCGGCTCCACAAGAGCCCTCTCGCCTCTCAAATTCCCAGACGTTTGGTAACCGCAAGGTGGCTGCCTAATGCGAAGCTGGTGGGTTATACCAGGACAGGTGTGGGGGGGCCAGGTGTGTGGGTCTTTATTGGCGCGGGCGCACCTCAATCTCCTCATTCTTCTTTATACTTTACCTATCTCTTCTTCAACCTCTTCACACATCTATCATCATCATCATCATATCTCTCTCTCTCTCTCTCCCCCCCCCCTTTTCGCCATTTTCCTTCCCATCTACGTCATCTTTCATCATGTTTTACCTCTACTTCCTCATAACCTCGATTCACTTTCTCAAATTCATTTATAAATACATTTTATTTATATTTATTTAGTTTATTCAGCGGGATCACTCGTCCTGTGAGTGAACATGTTGCTATAGTGCAGTTTTGGGCAGCGCCACTCATCTTGTGAGTGAGCATACCGCCATAGCAGCATGTACAACACCCACCAATAGGATGAAAACCCGCTGGGTTGTTCATCCTGTCCCTTGTACCCAGACACGGTTGGGACATGCTTAACTGGCCTAAGTGAACAGTTTATCACACAACTCCTAAACTGTCATTATCTTGCAGGTCCAAAAAGAACAGTATCTATATTTGACGGGGTTTTTTCCCCTCAATTTGGGGTTTATTATTCTACACACATTCTTAATGTCTCGGGTAGGGAACAAAGTGATGTCTGTCTCCCTCACCACAGATTCTGCAGCACCGCTGTTTCCATCCTGAATCTCCATGTGTATTTGCAACCATAATTAATTCCCGCTATTGCAGATTCTCTTCATCAACAACCTTTTCGTCCATAATGATTGGGATTGCCAGGTACAACTACACTGTACCAGTGTAATCACTGATTTGTCCCTCTATCCTCCTTTCCTCAGCTACCTTGTCACCGTGATGTTTTCTGGTGATACCTCTTTAACTTGGTGAAGTGTCTTGGGTGGGAAGTATTGAAGATGGTCTCCTTCAGCGCCGTCAGCAGCCAGCACATCTGCTCGTTTATTTCCAGATTCCAACGTGGGAGGGAATCCACAGGAACTCTTATCACCGTGCCCTGAGGGGTTTGTATTTTCACAGCTTTCTTCGTTTCAGTGACTGTCCCTTTTTTTTCTTAAAGCTTTGTAGAGAGCCTTAAAAAAAAGCCACTAAAAACCCAAGACACTTTTTAAGTCATAAAAAGTTTTTTCCTAAGGCTTTTGAATCGGTGTAAATCACAGGACATTTTGTGTTTTTAGTTACCTCGACGCCTTAATATTTAATTAATTAATTCTTAACAGTGGCAGTTAGCTCTGCTAGCGTTGAGGAGGCATAGTTCTCAGTACTGGCTCTCTCAATTTCCGTTTAAATGACATTATTCTAATTACCGTGTATATTACCATTACCCTTACCATTAGTAGGATTAAAGGAACCATCAGTGAAGATGTAATCTAATACATTTTCAGCTTCTTTGTTAATTTCCTAGAGATACTCGTCTCATTTATTGTGGTGTCATGTTGCATTTTTTTTGTTATACACATCTAGGACTCAAGAACTACAGAAACTATTAACCAATCACATCAGAGAGGCATGGCAGGATGTGCAGAATACCCTCGTTGAAAAGCAGAGGTGCAACAGGTACTCAGAGAGAACTATCAACATCAGAGGCCCGAGATTGTTCAACACGCTTCCACTACACATAAGGGGGTATAACTAGCCGACCCCTCACAGTGTTCAGGAGAGAACTAGATAAGCACCTCCAAAGAATACCTGATCAACCAGGCTGTGACTCATACGTCAGGCTGCCGCGTCCAGCAGCAGTCTTGACGACCAGACCTCCAGGAGGCCTGGTCTGACACCGGGCCGCGGGAACATTGATCCTCGGAATCATCGCAAGACAACGACAATTAAACAGTAGCCCATGTGAGGTGCTATTCCATATAGAGTAGTGCTAACACAGAGGCTGAACACCACCCAACACACACCTGGAACACCAGACACAGAGCCCATGGCGTTCTTTAGTGAGCTGGAGCTCCACTCCCCCCATAAACACAGCCAGGAAAGCGCACACACACACACACACACACGCGCGTGCGCCTTTAGACTGTGATTTACTATAGCCAGCCAAACTCATACACATGTCTAATCTACGATTCATACAATTCAACAAACCTTCGTCTATACGTTAACCGGTAATTTGTTCCGTGTGTGTGTGGGGGGGGAGGGGGGATGAGCCTCCTCGACCCCCCCCCCATCAGAGTCGTCCACTTGAAACAACCCGTTAAGAGTTCACTTGGGTACATCACACGCAGAGTGTGTTTGCTTGCGCGCGCTTGCACTCTCTCTCTCTTTCTCAGAGAGAGCGTAAGCAATCAAGCAAGCAAGCAAACACGACCCCCCTCTGATGTGGGGGTCAAGGAGGCTTACCTCAACACACACACACACACACACACACACACACACACAAAACAGTAAGATGCTTGTCAGTATATAGATATAGGGACCAAACAGCAGAGTTTTTGTATCTGTGTTTAACAGAAGAATTCCTATCGTCTCCATTACTAAGTGTAATTCTGAGAATTTGCTTTCATTTCGACTTTAATCGAGGATACACCGAAATACTTCGGTAGCAAAATACTTTACAAACACACACACATTTATTCTAGAATCCCTTGATGCACTTTACGTATGGGTTGTAGCACAGTAGTCTACGTTCTCGGCTCACTACAAACAGACCCGGGTTCCGTCCCCGGGCAAGACACAAACAGTTTCGTTTCACCTGATGTTTATGTTCACCCAATGAGCAAATAGGTACCCGAGAGTTTGGTAACCCATACTGGCTTCATCCTGGGGAATGTATACAAGTGGTATGAAATGTATACAATAGTTTCCACGAACCTTGAGTGACTAAAAATAAAAGTTTAAAATAACAAATAACATAGGTAGTAAGGCCGTCTGGGGCCAATAAAATAGCAAGGAGCCTTGTGGCACAATTCGGTAAGCCAGCAGGTCAGCTAGATCAGGTGCTCCTGCAAGCGGGAGGTCGGAGATGTCGCCATGATGCCATAAGGCAGTTATCTGCACAATTGGAAAAAGCTTTCTCCCGCCTGCCTGCCTGCCTGCCTGCCTGCCTGCCTGCCTGCCTGCCTGCCTCTCCGCCCGCCTGCCCGCTTGCTTGCTTGCTTGCTTGCCCGCCCGTCTTCATTCCTTCCTTCCTGCCTTGCTTGCTTGCTTGCTTCCTGCCTGCCCGTCTTCCTTCCTTTGCTTCCTGCCTGCCCGTCTTCCTTCCTTGCTTCCTTCCTGCCTGCCTGCCTGAACCCGCCCGCAAGACAGACACAGACTTGACTGACACAGTGAAAACCTGATACGGTCCATCAAAGAGTGGAAGACTTAAACTGATCGTGTCAAAGTGACCACAGAGGCAAGCGGCCAAGACCAGAGTGCGCTGTGGTCTAGTTCTTGGGCCCGATTGTGTGGGCTCTCCTTTCACCCACTCGCCCCACAAGATAGGAATAATGTCCACAAAACACTAAGAAACTAACAAAAACTCACAATCGTTGTGTCAGACTCTCCTTCAGCCACGGTGTTTATCTGATCACGGCTGAATACGGCTGTTGATGTATGTTGACAAACAATGTAACCGGTTTATCGAGGACGCAACTTGTTTAGTCAAATGAAGTTAGGCGTCGAGTTCCTGAGCGCGTTACGTGCCGCTGTAAACATCTCCACAACCGCTCATTGGCCGGGTATATAAGGGTACGCTACCCACTATTGCTCACAAGATGGGCACGCAACCCACTATTGCTCACTGGATAGGTATAGGGGTGTGCAACCGCTTACAGAATGGGTAAGAGGTACCCACACCTCACACAAGACGAATACGGTGTATATGAGTACATCTCACGCTACTACTCATACGATGAGTATGGGTTACACTACCGCTCACGAACCTCACACTACTACAGAGAAAGGGAGGGGAGGGGAAGACGAACAACAGGGAGCAGATGTAAGGGGAGGAGGTGGGGGAGGAAGGAAGAGATGGGAACAATTTCAATCTGGTGGAGAGTAAATACCAGCCAGCGGCCGCTGGTGAGCCGGGGAGATAACCCACGGAAGCTGGAGGCTGCCTCCCGTGACTGACACCCAACATTACCCGCCAATACTTCCCGCCCGCCCGCCCGCCCGCCCGCCCGCCCGCCGCCGCGCCGCCGCCCCGCCGCCGCCGCCGCGCCGCCGCCGCCGCCGTCCCGCCGCCGTCCCGCCGCCGCCGCGCCGCCGTCCCGCCGCCGTCCCGCCGCCGTCCCGCCGCCGTCCCGCCGCCGTCCCGCCGCCGCCCCGCCGCCGCCCCGCCGCCGTCCCGCCGCCGCCCCGCGCCCGCCGCCGCCCCGCGCCCGCCGCCGCCCCGCGCCCGCCGCCGCCCCGCGCCCGCCGCCGCCCCGCGCCCGCCGCCGCCCCGCGCCCGCCCTTTCACCTTGCTGGGGAGCGCTCCTCCATCTTCTTGGGGGAAAAGTTCCTCCATCTTCCTGGGGGAAAAGTTCCTCCATCTTCCTGGGGGAAAAGTTCCTCCCCCGTCCTGGGGGAAAAGCCCCTGCCACCTCCATGGTAAATACCTTCCCTCTTGCGGAGAAAGTGAGAACGAGAGAATATCATAAGCGCGCCAAAGTGGGGAATATCCTGGTATTGGGGGGAAGAAAGGAACCGCTGCAGCTGAAATTCTCAGACACTGGAACATGCCTTCCTGTCAGGTCAATATTTCAAGAGTAGCGAGAAACTTTCTACGAAACATGAAGGTTCCTCAAGCACTTACGTGTCCTCTTACGAAACCCGTACATCTTTTCCTGAATCGTGGGGGCTTTATCTACGTTGATTAAACAGTTTACGAGCTTCGAAATTTCACAACCCAAGGATATTATTGTTATAAAACAAGGACAAAAATAATTAAATCTGTAACAAAGGAATATTTTGGGGGCCCCTATGTATGAGAAAAAATGTGTTAGGCCTATGGAAGCATTAGCAGATTAAACTATAAAGTTATCGACGTGTATTTAAAAATAAATGACTAATTATCTCTAAATACGCGAGATAGAAAATATAATTTAGCAAAACCCTACCGATCTGCAGCAGTGTACTGGGCAGTTCAGTTAGAGAATAAATGTTAAAAAAAAAATAACATTAGAGGAATATTCCCTCACCACCACACTCAATGCCAGAGACAAGAGATGCAAGTTTGACAGTTAATGGCTATAAGGTATTGTAAGGTTAATAATGAGGTAATGATGTTTACTAAGAAACTAGAGCAGCTGCAGCAACAGTAGCAGCTGCAACAGTAGCAGCTACAGCAGCTGCAGCCGGAGCAACAGGAGCAGCTGCAGCAATAGGAACAGCTGCAACAGTAGCACCTGCAGCAACAGTAGCACCTGCAGCAACAGTAGCATCTGCAGCAACAGTAGCATCTGCAGCAACAGTAGCACCTGCAGCAACAGTAGCACCTGCAGCAACAGTAGCATCTGCAGCAACAGGAGCAGCTGCAGCAACAGGAGCAGCTGCAGCAACAGGAGCAGCTGCAGCAACAGTAGCATCTGCAGCAACAGTAGCATCTGCAGCAACAGTAGCATCTGCAGCAACAGTAGCATCTGCAGCAACAGTAGCATCTGCAGCAACAGTAGCATCTGCAGCAACAGTAGCACCTGCAGCAACAGTAGCATCTGCAGCAACAGGAGCAGCTGCAGCAACAGGAGCAGCTGCAGCAACAGGAGCAGCTGCAGCAACAGGAGCAGCAGGGCAGGAGTAAAAGAGCCATCAAAATCGTCGAGACATACCTTTGGCCAAATAAGGAAGGAGGGTGAGAGCGCCTTGTTTGAGCACACCTGTAGAAGACCCTGTGAGAGTTCTTTTACTCCCGAACGCGGCCCGAGGCCAAGTTTGACCTTATGATAACCTTGATCCAACAGGCTGTTACTAAGAATGGCCCGCAGACCCACATATCCACACCCATTTGCTCCAGCACTGCTCGCCAGAACATATCTAAAATTATTCCTAAAAATACGCCCCCTTTCGTTCCGGCAATATTTCGTACATGTGCTGTAAGGATAAGTGCTGTAAGGGAGCCGGTCGGCCGAGCGGACAGCACGCTGGACTTGTGATCCTGTGGTCCTGGGTTCGATCCCAGGCGCCGGCGAGAAACAATGGGCAGAGTTTCTTTCACCCTATGCTCCTGTTACCTAGCAGTAAAATAGGTACCTAGGTGTTAGTCAGCTGTCACGGGCTGCTTCCTGGGGGTGGAGGCCTGGTCGAGGACCGGGCCGCGGGGACACTAAAGCCCCGAAATCATGAAGATAATCTCGAGATTATATATATTATATATATATATATATATATTATATATATATATATATATATATATATATATATATATATATATATATATATATATATATATATATATATATATATATATATATATATATATATATATATATATATATATATATATATATATATATATATATATATATATATATATATACATATATATATATATAAGAAGGTACCAATGGGTTGTCAAAAGGACTCAAGTAGGTGGTTAAAGTGTTACATTATTGGAAAGTCGTATTTTTGACGGAGTGGCAAATGGGGGGAACCTGGTTCTTTTTTCCCCCTCCCACTGCTCCCTTAGTAACTCTCAGAAACTCCTGGCCAAACTATGTGAACCTTGACTGTTGGTTCTGGCAGTTTATGGAAACTTAGTATAGTTGTTTCGCTATTAACTGTTCGTTGAGAAGCAGAGCTCTGACTACGTTAGCAACACAACCCTGGAACACAACACAACACCCAAGCTCCTGAACGACCAAGCTCTCGGGGGAGAGAGAGCTGCCACAACACACCCGCAACACTCTACAACACAAACTTCCTAACACCACCACCACCACCACCTTCAAGCCCAGCTCAAGACGAGAGAGCCTTCAAGCACACCGAGTCTGGACCACCACTACACAGCTCACCAGAGACGTACGTACACACGTACGTACGTGCGTGTGCGTGTGACACAGAGGCTCCGTCTCCTCTACTACTCTTCAAGCCTCTCAACACACTTAGCGAAGTTCAGAGACATGTACTAGAGGACTGCTACTAGAAGCGGCACGAGTTACCCCCAAGGCAGACTCATAAAACTAAACAGTACAGGGGAGACCTGATCACTGTGTGCAAAATACTGAAAGAAATTGACGAAGTTCCGCCGTATGAGGCGATGGAAGCCAATTACAGCCACAGTTGAAACATGCAAATGTACACAATGCACTGAAATTAGCCGAGTGCTCGGGAAAGCGCGCGGAAGTGGAAAAAGAGAGCGAGAGCGCGAGAGCGCGAGAGACAGAGACACTCTAACATCTATATAAACAAACTAACAAACGTTCTCGAATATTTTTCATACACAAACAAAAAATGGCCAAGCATTTACCAAACAAACCAACAACTATTTCATTCATACACAACGAGCATATTCAAAACCGACTTAGTATGGCGCACTGAACCCCGACTAGCATATGCGAGGCAACACACGCTCCGTATGCATACTATGAATACACATTACACATGCACGCACACCTACAGACACAGAATAGAAGATAGTGGAAGAGAGAACCCTCAATAAGGCGAAGAGTAGATGAGGAAAAGACTTCTGACTTCTACTTAGTACCCAGCTTCCTCTCCTCACCTGCAAAGATAAAAAAAAAAGTTAGAATTAAGGAAAATGCACAATGCACGCACACATTATTATATATATATATATATATATATATATATATATATATATATATATATATATATATATATATATATATATATATATATATATATATATATATATATATATATATATATATATATTAGTGTTTAACTTACCCTTGAAACTCTAAACTTGAACCTACCCATCGACCCTACATCTATGTTACCCGATACGTAGTTACATAAAACAACAACCATGTTTTGGAAACCAGTATTTACCCAGGGCTTACCTAAATATAAACTTAAATTCCCAGTATAACGGGAAGTTGTTATCTGTCACAACCATCGTTAACCTCCCCCCTCCTCCCCCTCCCTCCCCCTCAATTTACCACTTCGTTAAAAATGCAGCTGTTTTTCCTAATTAGAAAACGTACGAACCCAAGCAACCCACCCAACCTATCGAGTCTGATGGACAGGGAAAACGTCAGTATTACGGTGCTTTAGTTGTGACGAAGACAATCGCATATTTAACGGATTGGGCGTCCGGAGAAGCACGTCACGGCAGCCTCAGGCTCCAGCCCGATCACTTGATTGGTCACAACGTACAAAATACGAGGTAAGAATTTTTTTCAGTGTCAGAGGATTTAACAGGTGGAATGCATTAGGCAGTGATGTGATAGAGGCTGACTCCATACACAGTTTTAAATGATAGAGCCCAGTAGGCTATCTTGAAGTTATCTTGAGATGATTTCGGGGCTTTAGTGTCCCCGCGGCCCGGTCCTCGACCAGGCCTCCACCCTTAGGAAGCAGCCCGTGACAGCTGACTAACACCCAGGTACCTATTTTACTGGTAGATAACAGGGGCATAGGGTGAAAGAAACTCTGCCCATTGTTTCTCGCCGGCGCCCGGGATCGAACCCGGGACCACAGGATCACAAGTCCAGTGTGCTGTCCGCTCGGCCGACCGGCTCCTCAGGAACCTGTACACCAGTATATTAACGGTTGAGAGGCGGGACCAAAGAGCCAGAGCTCAACCCCCGCAAGCACAACTAGGCGAGTGTACACACTGCGCCTCAGAGGGGGAGGGGGTTGTTCACGACCATGAGAACGAGACCAATTTGGGCTTCTTTTACGGTATAATGACTCTCACAGCCGTGACTGTGAGAGTCACTCTTATCTGGATCTACACTCCATTATTACCCTGATGTCTGTAATACCACCACGCCACCTGGACACGTGGGTCACGCTCCTACACGAATTATTATACCAAGTGTGTCTTTGGAGGAGGAGGAGGAGGAGAGGGTAATCTAAATTATATTATTATACTATTATACCTATATTATACTATATATATAATTATATTATAATTAGTTATTATACCAAGTGCGTCTCTGGAGGAGGAGGAGGAGAGGGTAATCTACTGACAGTACCTTTGTTTGCCGAAGCCATTATTTATACTAGCAAATTACACTATCCTATGTTGACCAGACCACACTAGAAAGTGAAGGGACGACGACGTTTCGGTCCGTCCTGGACCATTCTCAAGTCTATACTATCCTATACTACCAAAGCAACTATTGATAGTATTACTCTCGTCACTTGCTCGCTGGTTCTCACCACGTTTCCTTCACTACACCACCAACACCCACAGTACACACACCGAGTAGCGTGTTATTTTGAGTGACATGTGTATTCCATTCAAAATAACCTACACCTCGAGGTTTGGAGTCCGAGGCGTGTGTCACGTGGTATAGTGGCCCTTGGGGGGGGGGGGGAGGGGGCACTTGGGGTAGTGGCCCCCCCCCCTCCAAGGGTCACACCT